AGTGGGCCGATAAGGTCGAGGACCGGTTGGTAGCAGCGGTACCGGGTCGTCCAGTCATCGTCCAGCGAAAGTATCTCAGGAACCACCACCTCCTGCGGGTCCCCCGGCGTGGTAGAGACACGGACCAGAACAAATTGGGATCAGGCCGGTTGTTTGACAAATTTCGTCTAGCGCCACGGGAGAGTGCCTTCTAATATCCATCCAGCTGGTTCCTCCTTGTTCCACCTTGTGGGTCCCAGTTGCCTTTTTCTCTCGGTTTGTTCCCGGAGCACAGTTGGTTCGTCGGTCGGGTATCCTTCGGTATTCGTTGCACGAACACTCGCCTCCTTTGCACGACCACCTCTTCCCTGGTCTATGAACAGGTCCACGGGGGAGCGTGTGTGCGCGAACATGTTCGAGGAACGCTGGTACCGGAGCGTGCAGCGTACACTACCGCGATAGGCGGTAGGACGAGGAGGATGAGGCCTTCCTCCGCCGAAGAAGGTACCGCTATCGCCCTCTGACCTCTCGAGGCGAGCGAACGAGGCCTCCTTCCACTGGCACCGGTAATTTTGCCCTCGGTCCCGGCTTCCTGGTGCTACTCGGATCTAGATCATCGAAAATCCCGAGACCAACGTCCCCCCCTGGTCTCGTGATCCTTGGGGGCCCGAGCTGGCCGAGTCGCGCCGAGACGAGATCCCCTCGGCGAGCTTGCACACGAATTCGATTGCTAAAGAGATCCCGCCTGCAGATACTCCGCTTTTGTCATTCTCTTCGTTGCTGTTCGCGAGGATTACCCTCGATGAGAGTATCTTCTTATTCGTTGTTACGCGATAGCAATTAGACGGAACAGGTTTCGTCGCTCGCGTCCGGGTGACTTTCAGAGTTTAGGAGTTGCAACATCCAGTGTTTCGATCACTGTTCTTATTGGAATGAAATTGATCCCTCCGAACAGCAAAGGGTATATTTAGCTCGCAAAAGTTAGCTGGCACGATCCCGTTATTAATCATGGACAGCGAACGCGCTAAAGGGTGCTATGAATGGACGACTACCTGGAAAACGGAAATGGAACACTCGGATGGAGAACGAGGCTGTTCGCGGACTTTTCCCCGTGGGAATGGAACATTTGCAAAGTAGCATGCGGCGGAGGCACTCGCATTCCGCGGTAAGTAGCGAGCGAGCGAGCCCCCGTAGTGCAACAAAAACGCCGGACGTTAGGCGAATTCGAGATGAGAAACCGTTCCTTAGGAAAGAATTATTCAAATTGCCGATGAGCCCGAGTCGGAACTGTGCTCCGCTGCGAGGCGCTGTAACCAGTACGTAGAACCGGCCGCGCGCGTCGACGAACCACTGGAAACGAGGAGGCGCAGGAAACAATGTCGTGGGATCGTTTCGCGGGAAATTGAGGTTTTAAACGCGTTGTTTATCGCGCGTTCTCCTAGAAAACGCGCTAAAAATGCTCCATGATTAATAAAGCGGGTTTTACATCGTATTTGGGTCAAGAGCCGGCACGTTGAAGCGCCGGGTCCACCCGTTTGGTTAAGTTTCGCGCTCGTCTCGGATCAGCTCGATGACTAATCCCGATACCGGACCTCTGGACAAGAGTAATCGCTTTCGAGCAATACCGAAATAACGGTTATAGGCGGGAAGGCAAATTAACCTCGTCGGCTTTGGGATCGCTACCGTGGTAAAAATCACAAATCACAATGGTCGATCCTTCAGCGGGCATTTAATTTGACTCCGCGGCTCGCTGGGTTTTACTATGTAATTTCGATCGGTACCACGAGACAGAAACAAAGAGACCCTGCGTGGATCACGGATAAATGGTTAGCGTGTGCGTCGTCAGTTTCTCCGACGATTTAACGGGAGTTAACGTAGCAAGGACATCGAGTTCGTGTAATTTCTCTATTAATCCTCTCGTGTTTCGTACGGAGAACACTTCGGTATTCTTCTATATTTTTTAATGATTTCTTCGTATCGCTTCTTAATTGAAGCTTTGTATATTGTTAGGAACAAAAGTTTATGGAACTCGGCTCCATTTTGCAACGGTAGAACAGAACGCGTCAAACTGTTTAGTTTACAATCTCTTCGATCAAACTGCGTGAAATTCAATCTGAAAGCTCGTTTACGGTTTCGACTTCGGTTACCGGGCACGTATATGATATCAAAATGGTGTTCCACTCAATTACGGGGAACTAACAAGGAAGATAGATCTACGGAAAGTCTGAAACCATTACGTTTGACAGAAAGGCTCTTCGGGGCGATTGCAGCATTAACGGATACAAAGAAAAATGTTGAAAGACAGAGTGTAATATGTTCTTCTCGACGTGTTAATGGGAGAAGAGTGAAGAGGAACGGAAGATATTACAGCGACGTCAGTAACGCTAGACTGTATTCTCTCCTTTAGAATCCGATATAGAAGAAGTCCTAATGTTTTAGAGTTTTAAAAACATTCAAACGCGCAACCTTGAGTATCTCGATGTACGAACAAATAGACTCGTAATATAGAATATTTGTTGGGGTTGCAGTGCTAACCTAAATACGATGGAATTAGCGTCCGCGGGTTTGGTAGTTGTTTCCGGTGATCCAAATGCCGGGATCCGTTCGTGTGGCCCCCGGGGCGGTCGGATTCCCAGGCGAGCGCGGCAAGAAATGGCTCCCAATCTCGTCCGGAAAGTGATCATCGCTGCCTCGAGTCGCACGATTAAAGACGCCATTCCCCCGCGGGCACGGCGGGAAGGAAGCTTCAAAAACGGTCCCGGGGCGAGTGTCATCGTTACCGGGTAGAAGATAAAATCGGCCAATCGAGAGAGCTCTCTAGGGCGAGCCGATAAAAGCGCCTTCCACCGAACGTTACTTTGCCGCGCGCCGGGGACAGTGAAGAAAGGCAGAAAGGGCGACGGAGAGCGCCGACAGAGATACCCTCGTAAGAGAGAAAGAGACGTGCGTTCGTTTTAATCGCTAATCGCCAATTACCTGGAGCGTCCCGCGCCCGAAACCCCCAGAAGCATTTTAACGAGCCGCCGTGTCGCCCGGCCCCGGAATTTTACTTCTGCCTGGTCGGCGTCCACCGAACCAGAGAGGCCACGGCGTTCATGGTATCCTTTCGTCTCTCTCCCTCTCTTTCTTTACCCGCGATCGTTCCACCGTCTCTTTCTTTACGAAGGGATTCGAGCGTGTGTGCGTGAGCCAGCACCGTACCAATTAGCGCATACTTCGGCCCTCGGTGTTCGGGTGCCCACGTTGCCCTGTCGGTCGCTTTCGGTGGCCACCGAAACCGCGGCCACGGAATGGGACGAACCGTTCCAAGGTCGTCGTTTCAGCGTTTGCGCTTTCTAGTCGAACCGACCAACGAAGACTTCGTCAGGCTGCCACGGACGCTGGGAATGGACCAGGTTCCGAGCAGAGCCGTCCGAATACGCGGAAAAAACCAGGATTATTACCTATGGCCCCTCGTTTTGGTACAGGATGAAATTGCGAGGCTCCTGTATCGATATCGATATAGAAAGCGACAGAAACGATTCGCCAATAGCATTGCTAGTCGATCAGAACATTATTCGGGAGTCCATCGGTGACTATTTGTTTTACAACGTGTCCCACTCGTGTCACTACCTGGTTTGCCTTTTTGGAAAATCCAGCCGTGAACCTGTTATGGTGATCAACTGATCCTGCATCGAGTGCTCGGTGCACGGTGTTTTAGACACAACTATAAACTGCCGCGTTTTCTGTCACTTTTATTTCCGTGTACCTCGAAGCCTGGTTTCGCGTTCGCGGAAGAAGCGCGAAATATTAATAATTTCTTGTATCGTATTTATCACCTAAAATAATATTTAACGTCGTTAACGCGTTGACTGCCGCCTACGAGTTAACTCGTAACTAATGATCTGTCACCAGACGCCACCTACGAGTAAATAATGGATAATGGGCGTTTGAAAGAAGAATAAAAATTTGTATGCATCAGAGAACTGATTATTTATTCATAAAAAAACCAAGATAAGTCAGGGGCCCTATTTTGTCCAACGAACGTTGCGACACTCGACGTAACGAACTCGTTCATTAAGCAATAATGTATCATTCGATAGAGTCTAGACAAAAATTGCATAACTGCTTCCCCAATGTCCAAAGACGGGGAAGCTTTTTGCAATAAAGTTTTGGAAGCATTTGTTTACATCAACAAAGGAAGTATTGCAATTTAAACCACAGGACTCGAAGGATTAAATAAGAGCTTGTCAAAAAAGAGAAGTTGATCCTCGCTGGATGGATACTAATCTGTCACAGATGCGAACAATAACCCAGTTTCCATAATGGCGATTATCTACGGGCTCCTAGAAAAGAATCGTGAAACGAAAGAGCAACCCTGGACTGGATTATCGTATCTCGAACGGAAGTTCGTGGACGCGAGTAGCGGGATCGCCGTTGCAAATGGCGTCAAAGGGACGGATTTGCGACGGGGTATTTTCCTTCAGATTTTCGTAACGGTTCTAGCCTGTTTCACACCGCAGGATTAAGTATACACCACTGTGGGAGCTAAGTAATAACTACCAATGGAATTAGAGACTTCGCGAAGTCGCGTATAGTAGATGGGATATACGTGACTGTACGTTGATGATTTTTATTCGCGGATTGATGATGGGATATCTATAGACACGGAAGTGAGACGCGGCGAGAGCCATCGCAACGGAATTTAAATTCTCAATAGTTTGGTATAAACGCAAAAATACTCTCCGTCCTAACTCCAATCGTTTCTCTGAAAAACGTAATTCTTTATCTTCGAAAAAAGGCTTCTTTTCATTCTAAAATTTGTATTCGAAACATTTTCCAATATCTATTGCAATTTACGTATTCCCCAAAATCAAGGCGTCTACGCATTCACGCTACTCGCAATTCGACTGTCAGGTCCCGTCTGTCAATTTCCATTTCGACCCGAACCTTCAAAAATTCTCCGCGTCAAAAGTCCCGCGCCACGCTTCTCCGCAAATCCACGTGCCCAATGCTGATCATCGGGTTCGTTCAACATCGACATGTCCTGTTTCGGCGGCACCGACGAACAGATCTACATGGTCGAGGTACTGATCCACAGGGTGACTCTCACGCGAGGAAAGATCAAGGATATCGGTGAATATCCAATAGCGATAAAGGTGAAGTTTATGAACTTCCCCGTGTTCGAGATCACGCGACAGGACTTTTACTCCTACACTCCACCGCCGCCCGAAGAGGACGGTTGCTCCCTGCGGTTCATGATAGGCAGGAGTTGTTTGTTCGTTATGCAGCCGAAAGAACTGGTACACGTGTTGCAATCGACGGCTATAAAGGTGGGTGTCTTCCGAATCGGTGACACTTATCCAACAGCCGAGACGGAGGTAGAGCTACCTGGCTGTCTATGCGATCAAGTGGCCATGGCCCAGAACGACGCGGAGAACCTGCCCAAACCTTTCGTCGTGAAGGGTAGCTACAATCTCGTGGATCCTGGCGAGAATCCGTCGGGCACGGTGGACATGGAGCTGCGACTGCTATGCTTTGGCAGATCCATCATGACCCATTACGAGTTGCACCCCAAGTTCTTTACGTTCAGAAACCAGGACCAAGAACGAGAGTTCTGTGTCAGACGACTGGTACCGCCCAGCTACCTTCCGGAAGGTGTCACCCACGACATCTCCCAGTTCCCAGACAGAACGACGATGGACGAGTTGAAAGGGATCAAGCCGGAAATGACGCGCAAAGGGAGAGGACGAAAGGGCAGAAAGAAGGGCAAAGGTGGCAAACGAAAGGGTAAAAAGTGAAGACCACCCGTTACAGAGACCATTCGTCGTTACTTGTCACTGTCGTGACCATGGTAACTACACCCGACATATCAGATACAAAAATTCATCGATTCGAGGCGTTGGCGCGGTTAGGTTAAAATTACATTGGTCGTAAAACGACCACAAAATTAATGGCGTGTCCCAGCCGAACGTATCCCTAGAAGCCCTCGCGTGTTCGCCATTCTTTTCTAAATTCCCGCGTTGTGAACAGAATAAGAAAATGGCGTTGAAAAAGAAAATTTCGTCGCCGAAGGAGGAGCAGCTCTTCATGCTCGAGATATTTATCGATCAGGTGAATCTGGAGCCCGAGAGAACTTCGGATACGAACGTCGAGGATCTGATCGTCTCCGTAAGATTCACCGACCTGCCAGAGTATGAATTGAGCGTTCCCAAAAACAGCGAAAACAGTCACACGGAGAATGGTGAACTGACGGGAAATTCGGACGACCGTAAATTCAGTAAATCGTGTATATTCGCCAAGACGCCGAGTAGTTTGATCAAAGCCCTGAAATCTACACCGTTGTACGTAAACGTGCATCGAGCACATTCTCCCGAAGCTGTTCTAGGCACAGCGAAGATTTCCCTGCCTGCCTGCATGTGCGATCAAGTGTCCTCCTCGCGAAATCGAATCAACGGATTAGCCGTACCGTGCATAGTAAGAGACACCTTTGATCTAACCGATTCCGCTGGCACCACGACCGGTAGCGTATCCGTCTCTTTGAGATTATCCTGTTTCGGTAGCTCGATCGTCAAAAGTTTCTGTCTGACCGGAAAGTCTTTTATGCTCGAGGACTCGCCGCTTCAAAAGTTTCTCTGCCCTTATCTCACGCCTAGTATAAAGGTCTCGAACGACGAAACGGCGGCTGTCGAACCGTCGCTGAAACGGCCAGCGTCACCGCCGCGTATTCCGATGAACGATCCTGCTTTCAAACGACTGACCACGGCCGAGAAGCTCAACGATCCTAAGTTCCGAGAATTAGTTTACAGAGCTTATCCAGATGAACCCACTTGCTGCTGTCTGCCGACTGATCGATCGACGCATCCCATGGAATGCCGTTCCGGTTGCAACCGTCCTTGCTGCATGAAACTGAGAAATCCCCAAGTATTGGCCACGCACAAAGGTAAGCCTATCGAGGACACGTCGGTCGGTACTTATTGCGTGAACGACTCGAACGGGGAACCGCCGTGCTCTAACGCGTCGAGGCTCAGAGGCGGTGGCGACATCGAGCAGATTTACATAGATCCAACGGGATACAAATGGACCGACTACAACGGGGATTACAATTGGTACGGCGCGATAAACGCCACAGAAATACGATTAGAGGGCGGTGGAGAGAACGGCATGTCTAGCTGCAGCTGTTCCGGGGGTCCGGTGCCCGTCAAACAATCACAGTCCAAAGAGGAGAACCTGATAGCCATATTCGACGCGTGCAAGCCTCGCGTGACATCCACCGGGCCCAGGCCCGCGTGCGTTTGCGCGGGAAAGGATACGGAAATGTGGCATACGGGCGCCGCGAAATGCTCCAAGGAGCCCTGCTTGGGCGTGGACTGTTTGATTCGGGCTTTCAAAGAGGCGCAGGACTTTGTCGATAACATTGGAAAAGTGCCGGGCCTGCCCGGACTGGGTCTGATGGACCCCTCCGAGAGCCCGTACTTTGGCAGAGACATCGACAAGGACTACGTGCCCAAGGAACCCCAGCAACCCGAAAAAAGGAAACTACATCCTCCTGCTCCTCAAGCACCCCCGCCAGCCCCGTGCAGCGCGCCGTGCAACGTGCAACGAGGCAAATCGAACGACGACCAGCGCGCTCAGCTACCTTACGTGCCGCCAGCACCTTTGGGAGGTCTCATGCTTCCACCCCGATTGGGAATCGTACGCGAGGCCATACCTGTACTGCCGGAGGCGGGCCCGGCCACGTCAATGAAACAAAGGAAACGGGACGACAAGAAGGAAGACAGGAGCGAGAAGCAGAAGGACTACGACGTAGTGGCCGCGCTAATGGACACCGAGATGGGCCCTTGCGGCGAGCCCAGATGCAAATCCAGGAGAAAGAGACCGGCGGAGGTTACCAATGGTACGCTAAGCGCGACTCTCGTGTCCTCGAAGACGACGAGCCGTCGAAGGTCTGTCAAGGGTTCGAAGAAACGACGCGACAGGTTCAGCAAATCGCCCGGCGGCAGAGGCAGGTCGCGTGAAAAAGGTGGCGCGGGAGGAGAGTATCGCAGAGGCAGAGACGTTGCTCCAGGACCTGGGGGCGATCGCGAGCACGGTTCGAGGCCGTCGATAGCGGTCAGCAAACGAGTGATGCGATTCGTCTACTTCGTTGGCGACCATTACCCGGGTATCAACTACGGACACAGGGACTGCATCGACGTGCGCATGAGGGTGCCTGCTAACATGGGGTGGTTATGGAACACCGTGGCCATCGCGGGCCACCTCAAGCCGCGAATCGGCTGGAAACCGGGCGCCATTAGCCGTTACGTGTACGAGTTGATGCAGGAGGCGAAGGAGAACTCTATGCTGGACGAGACTACGTCGATGACGACGACGAAATCGGCGGAGCGTGGGAAGACTGGGACTGTACGCGGAAGAACGACGTTCGAGCGCGGAAAGGCGACGACTGGACGCGGAAGAACGGTGATCGAACGCGGAAAAACGACGACCAGCCGTGGAAAAACGACGATAGAACGAGCACGAGGCGCCGGCGAACGCGGGAAACCGACGACGATCCAGAGGAGCGGATCGAGAAGACGGGGCAGAAGAACGTCGGAGTCCATGCAAAGAGTGCAGTCCACGATGGAGGACGAGGACCAAGGCGCGGAGAGCCCACCGACTCTGCACGTCCACAGAAAAGACGGGACTTATTACGTGACGATGTACCCGATCAGACAAGAGACGACGGCCGAACCGCGGTTGTCCGAGCCCATAAAGCCGCTGCAGTTCAAAATCGTGAAGAACAAAGACGACGCCTCGGTCGCGTCCAGCTCCACGGCGTCCGACATGGAAATCGAATTCTCTCCACCTGCGGCGGTCACCAGGTACCGCAAGAAGCCCGACGTGATTCACGTCGATACGCAGGTTCGTCAGCAGGAGATTCTGGACGCCGTGAAGACGGAGAGTACGAGGAAGAAAGACAGGAAAGCCAAGAGGGAGAGAAAGTTGAAACCGGAAACTGCGAAGAAAGAGGAGGGAGGCAAATCAAAGGCTTCGGCGTGAAAAGAAAACTGCGTCGAAGATGACGAGAAAGAGGGGAACTAGAGATACGCGAACGGTTCAGATAGTAAAACAATTAGAAAGTTTGAATTTTATCTTATACGTAGCGCAATGATTTACGTCGAAGCGACACGCATTTTCTAATGATCGAGTTTGCGCGTTGGCTTTGGCGCAAAGTGCGGCATCTTCAGGCGGCCGTTGCGCATGACTCTCGACACGTTATCGACTGGAGTTAAACAGTTGAAACCGAGTCGATCAAACAAGTTTTCGTTGCACGCGAGTAATGGATGTCAAGGCACAAGAGAAGCAAAATGAAAGTATACGACAGAAGATGCTCGATGTGAGGCAAATGCGTATCGCGGAATGCCCGTCGGATTCACCGTGGATCAGACCCGTTCGTATACATTACCAACACGATGGCAAAGAACGAGACTGGGACGTAGTAAGGGCACACGACGGCGTGAGTATAATCGTCTTCAACACGACTAGGAAGAAGCTAGTGCTCGTCAAACAATTCCGTCCTGCTTTCTTCTACACGTTTCTTCCGGAGAAACGTGGGTCGGTCGACCTTGAACGATATCCACCGACATTAGGTGTAACCTTGGAACTATGCGCCGGTATTATCGACAAAGACAAGCCACATGTCGAAATCGCGAGGGACGAACTTAGGGAAGAATGCGGTTACGATGCACCTGCCGAGGCCTTTAAATATATAACTACTTTTAGGTACGTCAATAACATTATTTGTTTTGCTAAAAAACTACGAGCTTCTTACGTAATTATAGGTATACATATCGTTTGCTTTCGGAGCAGTAACAGATCGAGAAGAGCCGGGGAGATAACAAAATATCGCAAAACAATTTGAGATTCCCACTCCTAGAAATTACAAATCGAAATAGAAAAATCGCTTGAATTAAAATTGAGATAATAGAATTTTTTGGCGATTATTCAAACCCGTGTAGCTCCCTCCTTGTATCCGCCACTGATCATAGATAGGTAAAATTCTTATTTCGATAAAAATATCGAATATCGAATGGAAGATAAACGAGTTTTTATTTATTACTGGTTGAATAAAAATTAGAAATTGAGTCATAAAATGATATTGTCCCTTACTAAATAGACAAAAAGTATTATTATAAATCAACATATAATAAAATGGATTATCAGGAATGGAGTAAGGGATTTAGATGCAATTTTCAATTTAAATTCATGTCCATTACAGTTATGTCTCTACTGCAAGCTTCAAGAATTCACTCTATTATGTGGAAGTTACGGATGAGATGCACACACACCCTGGTAAGCTTAATTATATAGTTTTATTCTGTACAATTTTATTGTAGTGTTGTTTTATATAAATAATCAAATTAATGGCACATCGAGTTTATAGTATTTAATAAAATATTTCGAAGAAAATCCCACATTCCTTGTCCTTAAGTTTGAGCAATTCATCAAATTAAAGGAGGAGGAGCTGCATCTGAAGGAGAACTGATCGAAGTGGTGGAACTAAGCATCCCAGAAGTAAGAGAATATATTGAGTCTAAAGAAGTACAAAGTCCCCCGTGTTTACTATATGGTGTGACCTGGTTTCTAGCTAACAAACCCGAACATTGTTCTTAACACATACTCCAATCCCTTTGAAAACTGTTCAAAATACGTATTACTGATCAGAGTCTAAATAAAAGGATTATCCTCTAACTGAGTTTATTTACAAATAACGTGTATGTACATAAGTGAACGTGAAAGAGATGTATAATAAGACTGGATGAATTCAGATAAACTGATGTTGAATTAATGCTCAGCCTCGTCTTTTGTGAACTGGGAACTGACCCAAGCAAGACCCCATTTCAAATTAGTCAGGAGGAACTTCAGTGCCTTGGTCCACTGTTCTTCCGAATTAAATTGAATTCTAATATAAAAATAATAAGTTTGAATAGTCGTAAAAACAGGACATATGAAATTGATATTTAGGCGAATAACTTTACTTGATAGAATAAGAGTTGCCTGTTGCGGAATCTTCTATTTTACCGCGATCCATTCTGTACGGGAGGCAGAATCCACTGTCCCCTTTTTCCACCTGTTCCTTAAACTGTTGCAAACAGTCGAGAAAAGCTACCATTCCTGCATCAAATTTTGTATCCCATAAAAATTTAAATCCTCCGCTTCCGTATAGCGGAAGTTCCCGGTGTTGGTCTAGAGCTTCGACGTAACTGTGATTACCGAATGGCACTAAACGAAAACGTTTGAACGTGAGATTCATTTTTCGAGCTAGTGCTGTTAATAGTAAGGTAGTCTGACCCCAAGCAGCATTTATTTCGCTCCAATCAACAGGCACGCTTGGCAATCTGCCTAAACGGAAGGAATTTATAGTTCCAAAATGTCCTGAGTGCCAGATATGAAATGTAGCATTGAAAACATTTGTTTTCTTCAATCTTTCTAGCTGAGAAGCTGCATAGGCTAATTGACACTCCAGACTACGATATTCATCTTCTGCTAATATGAGATCTCTCTTATGTTTTGAATATTCCTTCCAATACCTTTCTTCCTCTCTTTGTAATCGTTCCCTTTCCTTTTCTTGTTGCGCTATCGCATTCCTAGTTGCAATTTCTTCCTTCCTCAATGCTTCTAATTCACTTATCATTCTCTCTTCCTCAGACTTGACATCCTGTAGTTCTTTGGTAAGAGATTCCATCTCTTCATCTTCATGACCCTGTTGTTGCTGCTCTATTTCTAACTTTTTTAAGTATTCATTGTAATCTGACCACTCTGCTTCGTTCATTCTTAACTGTTGATCCACCAACAACAACAGGCTATCCGTGCACTCATCGCACAAAGGGTGGTCAGCAGAGCTACTACTACTAAGAATATCAAACAATGTTGCTCGTACCTGGCAATAAGTAAACATTATATTAATGTTTGTTGCCATGGGTCAAACAAGACCCTAGGTACCTTTAAATGATGACTGAGGGTCTCTGTTTCTCCAGCATCCCCAACTAACATAAATCCATTATTTCCATTTGCGGATTCTGTCAATCTAAATGGCGGAACTAAATTTTCTATACTTCCACTGTGGGGTTCAATGTCTCCAGTCACTTGTTGTTGAATGGGAACTATTATAATAATATTTATTTATACTGTTGTTGGTAGAAAGACTACAATAATTTCGTAATAAAAATTATTGTATTAATAAATTGTAGTATTTTAAATATAAATATGTTGGTTCTTGGCGTATAATTTATTAAAAATTAAAATTATCATAACTATAAAATATATCTGACGTATGCGACAATGACGTACATCGAGAACGACAGATGTTATTGCAGGTCTGAGAGAATGGTGAAAAAAAGAATTAAAAATTCTTACAAAATCATAGAGTTTGAAATAGAAATTACCTACGTGAAAGTTCTGCTATCGTATGTTCTCCGAGATGATAGAAACTCGGATCTAATCGCAGAGGTTGTAGACATCGCTGACATGCGAAACTCACGTTAGTTTTCATATCTACCATTCTAACGTTTCGTTACTCAAAAGTAACTTCAACTCGTTATGCACTCGTACGCCACGTTATTTATAAATACGCATTTGACGCTTGGAAGACAGTGTCAGCTGATAATGTTTTCATTATATACCGCGAGAAGGCGTTTACGTGCCCATTGTTGTTGTCTGATTTATATGTTCTTTACAAATAATTAAAAATCAATCTATTAGAAAGAGCAGTTTGAGTTCCAAAATGAAATAAATAAATTACAATGTATACAGCATAAATTTTACTTTGTTAGACAAATATGAATATTATAATAATTTGTAACACTTCATTGGATTCAAATAAAATCACGTGATTGCAGCAGGGTTATGATGACAAATGCCTATTCTTTGAATACATGCAAATACAGTAGAATTTATTAGTGGTCAATGATAAGTTAAAAGCTGGGCTGTATGTATGATTTATTTATTTTGAAGAGTCACTAGTAGTCTTATTTCATCAGTTTCCGTATTCGATGTTGTATCTTTAGAAATAAATTCATAATTTTTAATTAGATGAAAAATATAGTAAGGTAAATTTAATATGTATGAACAGAATGTATGATTTCTTAGTTATGTTAAATCAGACTTGCCAACTTTTACAGTATTTCCCCATAATTTTTCACTATAAAGAACAAGACGGTTATGCCATCTGAACACATATACACGAAGTATAAAATACACGTTGCATTTTCGAGTTACTATGAACGTTATCGATGCATGTTGGAATACGACACCTGCGCTCCTAACATTTAGAATCAAAATCAAATATCGAGAATAATCACATATACGAAGTACACAAGTATACTTATTTATAATTAATTCCACTTAAAAACCTATATCACAGACGAGGTATACGAGTAAACCTTTCACCTTATGGACTTTCGCGACCTAATCTGACTGCCATACCGATCTAAAAATTCGGAGGTGATTTTAGCGGTCTCTTTTCATGGATGACGGTCAGTTGAGAAACTATGCACTGAATTAGTATTGATGGGCAGACAGCTATAGTGTGTGCGTAAATACATGTGAGTTAACTATGGGAGGGATTGAAAAAGTATAGCTTCGAGGATTCGAGAAAGGCGGCGGATGTGAGTCTATCCTTATTGCTCTCAACACAGCTGAAATTCGAACTCGCATTATCTCGAGTGCCCAGACATTTTTTACTTTCCGACCTATGTAGGCATATATGTATATGTTCCTACGCTTGGGTACAAAAAATACCCGCGATCACTATATTCGCCAAAAATACTAAGTATACAACTGGTCGCCCGTGTTGATTCGGATATTTCATCCTACAACATGGTTGGGGACCAGAGGAAACAAAATAGCATGCGACTCACCAACTGTAGAATTCAAGCACCAGGGCGACGATGTTGCCTAGTAGGAGTCATCAGCGAAGTCATCAGCGACGTTAGAAACGAAGTCAGCATCAAGGTCAGCAGCGAGATCATCGTCGAGTTTCTCTGGATCCACAAGTACGATGATGAGATGTCAGGATCCTTTAGAAAGAAAGAGTAAATGTTTTTACGAAAGGTTTCTACCGTATTTGAAAACTTGATGGCAAATTTAGATCAAACAATTTTTTTTAAGCGCACTCGGAACAAAATACGAAGAATACTTACATTATTCGCACGTGGGCATCGCCAAATACTCTTTTTCGTATAGATACAGGTTTCCTGTCGAAACGTGTTCACAAACTCTCAAAGCATTATGGCGTGACCGTAGTTTGACGGCAGTTGAGAGTCTCATGTGGTTGAATTGTAATTACGAGCTGCCACAGAAATAAAACACAAATTTGTTAACAGACACTTATTAATATTGGATAAATGCATCGATGGATAATGACGAAAAGAAGAGAACCGGTTAAAAATGAAAAATACGTTTGACCGTAGTTGAGCGTCCCGTGTTTAAATTGTAATTACGGGCTCTTAGAGAAATAAAACACAAATTCGTTAATATGCACTTATTAATATTGTATAATTGCATCGATGGAGAATGACGAAGAGAATAGAAATGGTCAAAAATAAAAAATACGTACCTAAATAGACGCGAAGCTGTCAACGCACTTCCCACACCACTTTCCAGACGAAGAATGACGAACAGGATCGGACACGATCTCGCGCGAGGAGTGGGGAGTGGGGTGAGGGAGTCACGTAGTCCGTCTCGACTCTTGATGTGTATTTTCGAAATAAAGGTTAAACCTTATATCTCGAAGAACTGAAAATAAATAAAATTAAGACATGATGTAAATAAAATTAATATAAAATGATATGAAACAAACAATTAATTAATTGATTTATAATCTTTATACTCCTGTGACGTCACAATGAGCAGCATCCGACTTTCGATTATTCGATAGATACAATAGTGTCTCTTAAAGATGAAATATCGATATACATAGGGAACTTATTTTATCGAAATATATACTAATTAGTATGTAAATATATTCATTTTTAATTGAAATTTTAATAAATGCTTTTCATATAAATTGTGTGAATGCAACAACAATGGACAAATAATATGTATAAAATATACAAATATATTAATTTTTCACGATGTTTTTCTTTTGCGTCATAGGACTCCCACTGAATACTGTTCCTGTCTGTTACTCGTCTGTACCTATTCCTAGTGTATTCTATAATATTCTTTAAAAATAATTTTATTCTTACCATTGTTAGCATTCCTAAGCCAAGGATAATGATGCGATACGTTTCTTATCTTTTAAAAGCTCGGTCAGGTTGTGTTTACATTCTCGGACGCCGGCCTCTCGACTTCACCTTGGAGATGGGCTCATGAATTCCTGATCTGCGTGACACTAACACTGTTGTTTTATGCGTCTATACTATGCATTGTCTGTGCCCTTAATTCCTGTGTTACGAAAAAATATCGCGTTCGGCGTCTACTTCACACTTCGTTTATGCCTGTAGAAGACTTCTTACTAAACTGCGTCAAGTTCAATGTTATCGACACCGCGTCAAAGAAGGTTGGATATCTAGTGAGAATTAAAATAAATATCTTTAGAAAATTTAGTAGAAACAAAAGAAACTTTTATATGAAAAACTCATTGAAATTTAGATTGAAAGTTAATACTTACCCATTATATGGTTAGAATTAAAATATTTTAATTGATCTAGTTATATATGCAACCAATAACAGATCGATATTAGATGAGCCAATGACAGCTTCCCATTGTGACGTCACAGTAGTATAAAGATTATAAATCATTAATTAATTGTTTGTTTGATATCTTTTTATATTAATTTTATTTACTTCATGTCTTAATTTTATTTATTTTCAGTTCTCCGAAATATAAGGTTTAACTTTTATTTCGAAGATACACATCAAGAGTCGAGACGGACTACGTGACTCCCTCACCCCACTCCCCACTCCTCGCGCGAGAGACGTGCCCGATCCTGTTCGTCATTCTTCGTCTGGAAAGTGGTGTGAGAAGTGCGTTGACAGCTTCGCGTCTAATTAGGTACGTATTTTCTATTTTTTACCATTTCTATTCTCTTCGTCATTCTCCATCGATGCAATTATACAATATTAATAAGTGCATATTAACAAATTTGTGTTTTATTTCTGTAAGAGCCCGTAATTACAATTTAAACACGGGACGCTCAACTACGGTCAACCGTATTTTTCATTTTCAACCGGTTCTCTTCTTTTCGTCATTATCCATCGATGCATTTATCCAATATTAATAAGTGTCTGTTAACAAATTTGTGTTTTATTTCTGTGGCAGCTCGTAATTACAATTCAACCACATGAGACTCTTAACTGCCGTCAAACTACGGTCACGCTAGAGACGCGACGCCATAATGCTTTGAGAGTTTGTGAACACGTTTCGACAGGAAACCTGTATCTATACGAAAAAGAGTATTTGGCGATGCTCACGTGCGAAAAATGTAAGTACATATCCTTTGTATTTTGTTCCGAGTGCGCTTAAAAAAAATTGTTTGATTTAAATTTGCCATCAAGTTTTCAAATACGGTAGAAACCATTTCAACTTTTTTACAAATGATAGCGTTTGTTTTCAAGGTAGCGAACGATGAATATTTTCGCGTTCGCTTTCAGAATAGTGTTGCGAATAAGATTTGATACCGGTTTGCTATTAGCGTTGCGAAGTACGAATTATTCGCGTTGCTTGTCTAGTTAAAGTTGTAAATAATTTACTAAAAATCTGTCTATCCGCGGTTTCTATCCGAGATGTCCCTCGGGTTCGTAAACAAGCTTCGCGAGACATCGGAGCTTCCCCCATCCCGCCGCCTAATTCGCGAGCGTTGCCGAGCACAGCGGACGGCCATCATTCATACTTTGAAAATAAACATAGCAAGACGTGTCAAGGCGTATCGGCGTTTCGCGACCGAGGTGCGTATTTCTAACATGTTTATCCTTCCACTATTACTATTCGCGTATTACTACTTACGATCTCTTGCAATACGGTTTCGATTTAATCATTACTTAATTGTAATAATCGTTTGCGTACTTTAATGCATCGTTATTTCGTTTCTGTTACAGTCTCTTATTGGAACTCGAAATTAAGAAATAATAAGACTTGTTGGAACCTGCCAAGACGTGTCGGCGTTTCGCGACCAACGAGGTACATACGTGTTTCTAACCTTTCAATATTTCTTCATTATTATCAATTACTGTTTAATTATATTTCAAACTATGTATACAGCAGTGCTAACTAAAGTAGTATTTCTGTTGACGAACTCTTGTAAGAAGAAAAAAGGAAATCGATAGGCAAAGCACAGGTGTGCTTGTTGTGTTTCTTGTCTCCTGTCCCTTTCTTTTCAGCTCTTTTCTTTCCAGGAAATTTGTTGGCCGCGCGCAATGCGGCCGGTAGATTCAGTGATTGTACGTAGCAACAAGTTTGTTTCTCGGGGCAAAGTGACCCCGGGCACGTTGTCGTTCGCGATGTTAGGCAAACGCGAGAATAGAAGCAGTGTTTTCTACGCAATATTAAATTACTTCCAGAGCATCGTGGCTCTCCTTGTTTTCTGAATCGCGATAATAGAATCATTTGTTCGCCGATTTCAATCTTCGGTCGCGGTAATCTAATTTA